TTGACTGGGTTCTCTTGTGTGCCTGTGGTCAGCTGTGGTCAGTTAGGTGGCATGACTGGTCTAGGCTGATGTCTGTAACATGTTCAAAGTCATCCGGCTGGCAACTGGTCTCAAGCCTTGACAAGGATGGTTTGTCTGTCCTCCACATGGTTGCTCATCCCCCATCAGGCTAGCCCGTCAAGCCCCAAGCTCTCCCCATCACCCCCACGCTCATTCTCAAAGTGGAGGCGGGGCTACAACAGCCAAGCAGAACGTTTAACATTTCTTGAGGCCTGCTTTCCAGACAGGAGCCAAGCCAAGTCATAAGACCAGCCAGGTTTAAGAGGTGGAGAAACTGGAAGATTTTAAGCTGGTTACGTTTTTAAAGATCACTGTGTGGAGAGTAGAATGGGAGTATGGTGAGGAGAGGAAGCCAGCAGAGTTCACCATTTCTCCATCCTCAGTAATAACACAGATGAGGCTCACGGTAAGCAACTGTGGGATGGACGGACAGGTGGACACCAGGATGCTCTCAACCTGGCTGAACCAGAATGGATGGTGGAGTGAGATCCCTTAGGCTGGCCCATGAGGAATCCCAGTGCCTTTCCCCAAGACCTGTAATGAGGATACAAGAATGCCTTCCTCCTTCCAAAGTTTAATTAAGTGGTCTGCCTCCTCGGGGTTAATCCTGTTATCACTGCCAAGCACGAACTCTAGGGGAAGCCTGGGTCTGAGCAAAACGCCCACTGTCTGGTGGGGCAAAGAAAGGCCCTGGAATTTGGGGAAAGGTAGGGGGTGGAGCCGATACCAGAGCCCCGACTGGGGCCGGACATTTAATTTCCAGACAGAACACAAAGGAGTCGAACTGGGTTTCAGCCCCATCCCAGGAGGAGGTGAGGAGGAGGAAAAAGTTGTGTAAGAAACTTCTGATAGGATGAACCCATCCTAGATGACACAATCCAGAGGGGACCCTCCTCCTTGGAGACCCACTGCCCCTGGTGGCAGAAACAAGTAGTGGACAGGTCTGGAGTTTGGATTCTCTTATCAACTACTTCCTGTCTGAACCTGTGTTTCTTCATCTGTGTAACGGGGTGGTAATCTTCATCAAGGGTTATTGAGAAGATACAACCAAATATTGAAAGTGGTGCCCTACACGTAGCGGGGGCTCAAAATATGCTGCCGCAGTCTCCCATTATGGTTGTTGGGTGCCTATTACTCGTTCATGTTATGATTACAGTGTCAATCTATAGACCCCTTGGGAGCAGACAGAATGCTACATACTTCAGGGCACCCACACCCCATGGATCTGACCTAGACGTGTGGGTAACCTCACAGGCAGCCCTGCTTACTTACAGCCCAGTGCAGCCCCGAGCTCCTTTGTAGCCTCAGCTTTTCACATGTGACTCATTAACAAATACTTTTTGATACCAAAAGTTTTTCTTTCCCCATCTATAAAACGAGGCATGCAGAAGCAACTGGACAACACCGTTCCTTCTTGCTCTGACATGTGATTTGGTGGAGACTGAACCCTTTCCCCCAAAAGTGAGTCCCTCATCTGTTGACTATCAGAGACAGACATCTTGGCAGTCCTCTGGCTGAGGACCCAGGACACTCGCTGAGGTAGGAGGCTTTCTAAGATCAGGTGCTGTTTCAGAGAGGGAAAAAGCCTAGGACAGGACCCACAGCAGTGCCCTAATCTGATTCTGTAGTTGTTTGCAGTGAAGTCACCCCTTACTCACAAAAGGTGAATGCCACCTAGTTCTGCAGCACCCCCAGGATCGCTTGCTCCTTAGGGATTGGCTGCTTCTCAGAAACACATTGTCAGGCCTGTCCTTCCAGTCGGTCTTCACCCGGAAGCTCCACTGAAACTTGTTTAGCATCATCACAACACTCAGACCCCCCACTGGCGGACGGTTAGTGGCTACACATGAGAGGCACTGACCTGGGATTGAACCCAGGTCTCCTACATGGAAAAGAATTCAACCACTGAGCCAACGCTGCTCCCAATCTGTGCTAAGAGCTTTCTCTAAGCTCGTAGAGTTCATTATCACTGCAAACTTAGGAGGCAGATTCTATTGGTGCTTCGGTCTAACAGTAGGGATGTGGGGTCATGGAGGGATGTCAGAGCTGGGCCACCAACCCAGAGAGCCCACCATCACAGTGGCTTATGATTTTGATTTCTTTGCTGTATGGCTTTTTGCCTCAGTTTTCATACCTGTTTCCCTGCAGATCTAGGAGCATGGGCTACTAGACTCCTCCTGCTGGGAGGTCAGGGCTGTGGAGAGGCTGAGACGGTGAAACTCCGTGGCTAAAGGCCCGGGCACTGACGAGAACTCCCTGGCTAGGGAGGGAAGGGATGTCCACATCACCTCCCAGAACCTCAGTGTTGTCCTCTGTAGAACAGGAATGATTCCATTATACCCAGCCTCCAGGCTGAGCCCAGTGTGATGCTGGTACACAGAACTTGGACCCAGCCTGGGGCTAAAAACAAACCTGAATCCTCAGGATGCCCAGCTGGAATCTCAGGAAGAACTGATTCGCCTAATGCTCCCATGTTTTCAAGGCAGCAAACAGAACTGGGAACCCCAAAGAATTCCATAAAATCCCAGTGTTAAGTGAGACTTGTGAGGGGGGGCAATTAGTGTACTGCCACCGAAAGTCAAACCCCTTAGTGCCATCCTCGACCACGGCACATGGCACAGACCCCACTGCAGGCTGTATCCCGGCCCCCTGCTGACCTGCCAGGCCACAGACAGCATGCAGGACTTGGACTGTGGACAGGCTAGGCTGCTCAGCTCTTATACCAGCACTGCCTGGAGCCTTGTCTCTCCTGTCTGCTAAATGGGCTGTATCTGCCTTAAAGGAAACACGGGTGGTTCCATGATAGAATTCTTCTTGTCTTTCGTGCAGATGACCCACTGATGCACTCCATGAGCAGCTTGGGTGCTGCTAGGATGCTGAGCGGGTGTCAGAACTTCAAAGTTAAGATGGCCTAGAAAGAAAGACCTGGCGATCTACTTTAGAAATGAGTCCCCACAGTCCTAGCCACCCTTGACCAAGGACTGGGCGGGGTTGTGTTCATTTTGGACAGGGTCAACCTCACAGCAGCTAACATTCACTTCACAGGGTTTGGTCATGCATGATCCATCACTGACATTCTGTGAGGCAGGTAATTACCACCAGGACAACAGTACCCCCACATAGGTGTGGTAGGTCTGTGGACAACCCTCTCCCCCACCCCCAAAAGCTTGGCTGCTAGTTCTCAGCTCGTCCCTCTCCATGTCCTCTTCCCCACCCCAGGGCAGCCCGTGTTCCAATGCCTGATGAATTCTGGCTGTTACAGAATCAACAGCAGAGGGAGATGCTCCCTGGTCCTGCACCATCCCCACCATCAGTTGTGGACCAGAGTGTTTTGATCCATAGGGTTCCCACTGGCTGAGTTTCAAAAGTACATCACCAGGCCTCTCTTCTTAGTCCTTCTGAGTTTGGGAACTCCGCTAAAACCTGTTCGGCATCACGGGTCTTCTGTGGAGTCCGACACACAGAAGTGAGCACCGGACTGTTGCTGGGAAGCTGGGAATCAGGTACACGTCCATGTAAGTAAGTTCGTCTGACTACACCTCAGAGCAACAACTTTGGGCTCTGAGAGGTTAGTCTGAGCCATGTGGACAGGGGGTTGGCGCCCTTTAGTTAAAGGCCCAGGAAGGAGAAACAGTGGCAGAGGGAAGTGCTGGGGGGCAGGAGGGGCCTGGATATGCAGTGTGACAGTTGTACCTCTGACTCGTGTGGTCCCTCTCTGGTCATTCCACCTCCCAGCACGGGGAGGACACAGACCGGCTGGGTGCTGGGGCATTGACTTGACCATTTTGTGCCTCAGTTTCCTTGGCTATAAGATGCAGTTGCCATGACAACCTAGGCCTCTGGGAGGTGTAAGACTGTTTAGCGAGTGATGTACCAGAAGCCAAGCCTGAATTTAAAGGGTCTCAATCTCTGATTTTAAGGAGCATAGTGGTTACCGGTTGGGCTGCTAATTTCATGGTCAGCAGTTCGAAATTACCAACTGTTCCACAGGAGAAAGATGA